CTTTCACTTGGATGTTATAAGTTGCACTGAGTAAATACAGCTGGATAAAAAAAAAAAAACGGTGCCTGTCTTCATTTCAGGCTGCAAAGCAACAAAATGTGATTATTTTGAAGGGGGGGGGATATTCTTTTCTATACCCACTGTAGATGCACCAAATGATTCACTGAGTTAGATTAAATAATAGACAAATGTATTAAACTGAATGAGAAGTTTGATAGTAAGAGCTTTATGAAAGGCAGTTACTGTGAATGAAACATTTATATAGATGAAACACTTATTTTGTGTAGTGAAAAGAATACTTTGTGATTATGTATTGCACCAAGACAATTGAAAATATGCTGAAATGTTTGAAAAAAGTGCACTTTTGATGATCTGTTGTGATATTAGTACTAATAGTTTTGAAAATGTAACAGTTGCTTGTGAAAATAGTACCAAAGCGAATAAAAGAAACTAAGAATCTCTAGACATTTGCATTGGAAAACAACACAAAAATGCTGATATAGAATGTCAGTTTTTTTTTTTTTTTGCAGTGTGATCAGAAGAAAATAAATATTTCCATATTGTAGATATTTCTATATTGTAGAGGTTGGGAGCAAAAATATCAAGCCTTATATTTTGAGGAAACAGAAAACTATCGTGTTGCTAATAGAAGACATTTACCTTTTATTCTTCACAGTTTCTTTACTTGGTCTTTAAAAGGTCTTAAATCTTAATACACAAATAAATGCCATGTGGAGACTAAATCTGAGAGTTAATTTAACGCATTGAAGTGGAAAGTTTGAATTGATTCACGAAAATGACTCAATTCTAACGATTCTTTTCTATACCCACTGTAGATGCACCAAATGATTCACTGAGTTAGATTAAATAATAGACAAATGTATTAAACTGAATGAGAAGTTTGATAGTAAGAGCTTTATGAAAGGCAGTTACTGTGAATGAAACATTTATATAGATGAAACACTTATTTTGTGTAGTGAAAAGAATACTTTGTGATTATGTATTGCACCAAGACAATTGAAAATATGCTGAAATGTTTGAAAAAAGTGCACTTTTGATGATCTGTTGTGATATTAGTACTAATAGTTTTGAAAATGTAACAGTTGCTTGTGAAAATAGTACTAAAGCGAATTAAAAAACTGTAATGTCCAGTACTGTAGTATATCATCTGACTCAGCAGTCTATTAAAAGCTGATTATGAAGGCACAATCTGGGCAGCTACACCTTCCTTCTGGCACGCACACATACATTTGGCAACATCATTTGCCATATAGATCAATGCCTGAGAAGCAGCAATATTTTAATCATAACTGGACTGGGTAATGGTGGCTATATTTCCTAGTATTAAAAATCAAGATCGAAAAGTTACAGAAGCATAACTGAACATAGAGACACATTTAGACTAAGACTGTATGAGCAAGTGTTGTTTAGGTGTTATGTTACTTCTACTGAAATGTCATGCAGTGTTATGTATGTGATATTCATCATTAAAAATGAACAGGCTGCACTCAGCTGGACAGCAAAGCTACTGTGTTTTTCTAACACTTTTTGATGATATCTAAAAAGCCTGGGAACTAGTTCATATACATATAACAGTTGATTGAAGTTGTAATGTTTTCAAATGGTCAGAAAAATTAATAAAATAAAATAAAACAAAATATATTGGGGTTTGGGGACATTTCTCATAAAAAGATGATCACAGAGGTAATGTTCCCCAAGTAACCCTTTTTTTAAAACACAATGAATAAAATTACGATGACTCACCCAATCAACATAAAATTTGTTCATTAGTTCACTTTTAAAAACATATCATTTGTATTTTCTCAGCTCCTTGATGACGGTGTAGCCATAGTTATGAAGCATTAGTATTAAAGGTAAAAGTGGAAACATAGTCCCCCAAAGTCTCCATTAGCATTCTCACAAAGGTCTAATTAAACTCTTCGACACGCAGCATGCTGTCCCTCCTGAAGAAATAAATGTAATTAGGAAGGGAGGTCCCCTCTGCCTTCATGTCCCCCTGGAGCCACACTAAACCGCCGCTTTCTCGCAAACTCTAAAAAGTGTGCACTACAGGGATAAGAGGAAGTTAAAAATGTGGAGGAGTGTTTTGCTGTAAGGCTCTGTAATAATCTACATCTTTTAAGAGTTGTTCAGACTAATAGATATGTACAGTGAGCAAAAAAAAAAACATTTTAACAAATAAATATATAAAATCTGAAATGATTCATTTTTAAGGTGAATTGCCATCATGAGCAATAGAGACCAGAAAAGTACATTTTTACATATAGTCCAAAGGAGACCACTAGTGACAATGGTCCTATTTTGCATTCTTTTATCATTTACATTTTTATACCAAATGATATTATCACGTTTGAGTGAACAGTTTAATTGAAAAATTAACTTGAATTTCAGAATGTCTTAGCCTGTCTCTCATTCATTTGATTGACAGCAGCACTCAAGCTATACGAACTATGAATGATCCATGTTATCCAGCATGAATTGAAGTAGGAATTTTTTGTGCTTCAGTGGAAGCAAGGGACATCTGACATTTTGTACAGGAGTTCATATGATCAATGACACAACGTGACCTAGAAATACTGCAGAGTCCTTCTACTCGACTTTACTTCATAATATTTAATTTAGAATGTTTCAAAGGCTTAAAACATTGTGTATTTTCAATTTAAAATTAAAACATAAAAACTCATTTCAGGCATTTGCACTAATACAATTCGGTCATGCTATAAAATTCAAGCACTCTAAATCCAATTTGAAGTCAGTTTCTGGTATTCCAAAAATCCGATATACTTTTGTGGAATCACAGTGAGTAAAAGTGCTTCCTATTAACATTGGTAGAGCCCAGTGACCTCTAGTGCTCGACAGCGGTACAGGTACAAATAAAAATAATAATAATAATAAACTGTAAATTTATGACTAGCTACTGCCAAGGACATCTCAGTATAGTGCTGGATCTACAAGCACAACTTTAGAATGTTTATGAACCACATACCCAGCATGCCATCTACTCTTCCTGAGGAGTTACAAAAGACTACAGATGTGTGCACGCAAATCTCAAGACGACTCCACACAGTCAATGTGGCAAAACAGCCGAGATGATCTTGTTTATGGGGATGAAATATGGGATGAGTCACGAAAGACCATTGAATGGATTATCGTGCGGTGTGAAAATAATGTCTTCACACCGACACCTCATATTTTACCTCAAAGATGATGAGCACATAGACTCCTGCCAGGATCAATCCAGCCATAAGCACCTGTGTTTCCACGGTTACATAGAGTGACTGGTGAGTCATGGACAGAGGAACCACCTGACTGTCTAACAGAAAGGCCTGCACACTGATCAGAATAGGAGCGCTGGAGGACAAGAGAAAGAGATAGATTAGAGAGATGGAGACACAAAGCATATACGATGACAGGAACTACTGCAAAAATAACATCATCACATGATCAGATTTACTGAACTATTAACACAGTTCAAATCTGATGACAGTAGTGTGATTAATCTGCTTTTTTTATATGGAGCAATAGATGCAATAAAGTGCACCATATAACATGAAATGTCTTTGTTTGATGAGGAATGTGTAATCGTACCTGCTAACCATTTCAAATGTCCTTGTTCTCAGAATTTGCTCACTTCGTTGGGAATGCAATGGTATAGTCCAGTTATAAAGCACCTGTTAGAAAAATAGAATTTATATTCTGAATGTATAGAATAATCTCTTTTAATCTTTTCATTTTCATTTTATATACATTTTACATACAGCGTCCTGAAAAAGTATTTGGATACTTATAAGTGACTCCTTAAAATGTATAAATGCCTTTACAATCAAACTATAAGGCATTTAAAGACATTTTTATGTTTATTCTATTCTATTCTAGTCTATTCTATTCTATTCTATAGAAATAATACAATACAGTACCATTCAAAAGTGTATGGTCAGTAAGTTGTTTTATTTTATTTTATTTTTTAAGAAAATACATGTACTTTCTACTTATCAAAGAATCCTGAAAAAAGGTGTATTACGGCTTCTTCAAAAATATTAAGAAGCACAACTGTTTTCAGCATAAGAAATGAGAGAAATTTTTAACATGATAAGAATTGATAATAATAAGAAATGTTTCTTGAGCACCAAATCAGCATATTAAAATGATTTCTGAAGGATCATTTGATGCTGAAGACTGGATTAATGGCTGCTGAAAATTCAGCTTTGCCATCACAGGAATAAACTGCTATAATATTTCACAATATTACTGTTTTTACTGTAATTTTCATTAAAATTAATGCAGTCTTGGCAAGCATAAGAGACTTTTCAAAAACATAAAAAAATCTTTCTGACCCCAAACTATTTTTATTAAGGAATAAACACACTTTTCAAGCTAAATGTTTCACAAAATGAAATATAAAACAACAGATATATTGAAACAACTCCAACCTGCTGAGTTCTTCTCCTGTGAGACCCCGCCTCTTCAGTCTGCTCCACCTGGATCAGAATATACTCCTGGGCCTCTTGAACTGCCTCTATCCCTCCCAAAAACGGCCCACCAACCTGCAGCTTCAGCAGGGAGTTGTCACGAAAATCAGTAAGATTCATGGCTACAGCGATCAGTTAGGTTAAGAAAAACTTCCATGAACTAGGGAAACAAATGAAAATACAAACACTAAGTATCTATCAAGCTTTAACCTGAGTGTTTTGGAAAAATTTTACAAACAGATGTCAGCTGGCCATGGTTTCATTTTGGACAGACAATCCCCTCCCACCAGCAGAAGGTACACTGAAGCACTTCAGTGCATTGTTCATTCTTCACATTCATCTCTCCAGCTCTGCAGGACTCACAGATTGCTGCAAGTATCAGCCAGATCTGTTGTTATGCACAAAGTCATAGGCAAGACTGTTACCATGACACAGGCCGCTGTAAATAGCAGATGGTGAGATTGTCACAGAAACGGAAATGAATTAGAGCAGCCCTTCAGTGCAATCTCCGAACCAACCATAAAATCCCCGCAGGGTCTGAGGAGTTAGCGCAGTGGCATGCATCATCACAATATTTGACTTGTGAATTAATGATTCTTATTTATCTAGTCAATGCAAATCCAAACAATGCAGATTCTCTAAAGTACACAAATGGGGAGGATACAGAAGCTTTCGGTGGATGAGACTGCTAGCATCCTCCAGGGGCTTTCCCTGTCTGGATACATGCTGAAAAACAGCTGATGATTCAAATAAATATAGTTATTTCAGTGTGTCATACAAATAAAATCATTGAGCATTTGTAAGTAATACAATCATAAATGGATATTATTCTATATAACAAAAGCTGTTGAGTAGGTTTGACGACTGAAAAACTTACTGAACAGAGAACAACAATGATGAAGATGGTGATGATTTTTGTTGTCCTTAAGCAATACCTATAAAAGCAAATTTATGTTCATGTTTAGTTATGTCATCTACCTTGCAACAGAAACACATTTAATGTCCCAGAATTTTGAGTTACGGAGCTACAGTAAAGAGAATTCTACAACCATATTTTGAGTTATGGAGCAACAGTAAAGAGATTTCTACATGCTTTTCTACAATGGTTCTCCTGCACAACTGGATGGATGGACGGACGGACGGACGGACGGACGGACGGACGGATGGATGGATGTGTCCTGTTAATATTGTTGTGAATTTTTAACTAACCCCAAATTTTGAATGGTAGTGTATGTATGCCGTACCTGATGGGGGATGATAGTTTGAAGTAATGTTCACATTTATCCATGGATGTGATGTGGGAGAGACTGGCCACCTCACTTCCCAGCCTGCACCTCCTCTCCAATTCAGCAGAGCTGGCCTCCCATGATTCCTCTCCAGATCCCAGGCTGGACTCATGCAGTGTCATGTAGGTGATACTGCACAGAACAGTATAAAAACAGTGTGTTAAACACTGTGGTGCTTGCAAAATTTTGCTTTCTTTGTTTGAGCAGTCAAAGATATTGACTTCTGACTCAACCAATGGCGTGAGTTTGGGGCAGGACTATCTGTTTAGTGGTAAAATTTATTATTTAGACCCGGGAAACTTGTTTACAATAATCATTATTTTTGCAGTCACATTTGTTGCCGCTAGTCTCATGGAAATGAAACACTTCACCTTTAAATTTAGTTGTGAAAATCCAATCCCTCTTGGATAACTTTTCCACACCGGTGCGGTGACTGACAGCCACACATTCACCTCAAAACATTAGATTTAGGGATGGGCGGATCGATCCTTAAAGGGGTCATATGATGCAATTTCAAGTTTTCCTTTCTCTTTGGAGTGTTACAAGCTGATTGTGCATAGATAAGATCCCTGAAGTTGCAAAGACTAAAGTCTCAAAACCAAAGAGATATTCTTTATCAAAGTTAAGACTCTGCCACGCCCCCCTAAAACGGCTCGTTCTAACACGCCCCCACATATCTACCTCACTATGTGGAAATATTAGCATAACGCGGCCCAAATGTGCACGCAAAGAAAGAAGGCATGGTTTCAGTAACCGCAGTTAGTGTTAAAGCAGCCATGTCAGGGAGACGCTGTGAAAGCAAAAGCACTTTATTTGGCCTTCCGGAAGTAGATGCAATTAGGAATCATTGGTTAAGATTTATTTACAACAGAACAGCACAACCCAGATGTTCGAATTTGTGCAACGCATTTTATGGACGACAGTTTTTTTTTAACCTAGAAGAGTACAAGGCTGGCTGTGCACAAAGGCTATAAAAAAATTTTTAAAAAAAGGGTAAATTCCGACTTTGCTATGACAATCTGGCACTTCTGAATCAGCTACTGTAAGTATGTTTTGCTATTAGTTTAAGTATTTGCTATTGACAGTTCAAATGTGGAGTTTTGCGTATCGTGTGTGTGGGTGTGTGTGTGTGTGAGAGTGTGTGTGTGTGTGTGTGTGTGTGTG